GAAGAAGAAGAGCAGCTCTAGGGCTCTGTTGATTTGCAGCTAGTGAGCTGTGTGTGTTCTGCTCCTACTCGTGGAGAAGAGTGTGTTTGGCAACTAATCCTCTTTACTTACTTTTCAGTTTACTGACCAACGCTTGAGTTTTGTTTTGTTTCTTTAAATGGTGATAACAGCTTGTCTGTCTCTTTTAGTTGACCTATTAATAGAAACTTTAATAAAACTTTTTAATTTAACCCCTTTTGCCTCCCTGTCTCCTTTTTCTGACCCGGACACTTTTTGTTACTTTCCCTAATCGCCTGGACCCTTTTAGGGGAACGTAACAAAGATTAACAATGACTAACACTGAGCAGTGCTGATTTTCTAACACTGGAAAATAACAAAACATGCTAGTAACTTTACAGTGTTAGAGAATCAACACTGCTAATGTTAGCCATTGTTAATCTTTAACACTGACTAGGTTACTGTTAGAAATATAACACTGTCAAAAATGTTCATTTAACACTCAAAAGAGTGTTAAATGAACATTTTAGCAGGTCTTTAGAGACAATTAGTTCAAAATTACTTTTGATTTTGTCTGGAAACACATGAGAGAGAGAACAGCTCATTTATAATACATAATTTAGTTTCCACCAACATATTTCTGAGGAAAAGACTGTTGCTCGCCTATTGAATAAATTCCTTCCTTTTAAGATCACCTCTGTGCCTGTGTCCAGATTTCCATTTAACATAAATATATCATCATTATATGGGTTTAAGGGTTTCTAAAAGTGTGCTACAGCAGGTCTATTTGGTTTCTGTGTTTCTCTGAGTTTAGATTACAAAAAAGTATCCAGCATTTGGGAAACAGACAAAGAAAAAATTAGTGTGCATTGTTGTTTATCTTGTCTTATTCCTGTTTTACTTGGAAGGTTAGTTTTCTCATACTCCTTGCGTTCATTTGACTTCCAGCTTTTGTCTGTAATTTGCTTCTCTGCTCTCATTAGTTTCACTTTAGTTTGCTTTTACCTGCGTTCACTCGCCTATTTGTGTATATGGTCTTGTCTTGTGTTGTCCTCTACAAAAGCCTTGCTTTACCCACAGCCTGTGCTAGCTTCCTTTAAAACAGACTTTCTTCTGATTGACTGAACATCACAATGAGGAGATTTGAACAGCAGTTAGGTGGAGATACGTCTGTCCTCGAAGTCAAACCTCTTTTACTTTATATGGTCTCATTTTAGACAAGTTATTTATAATTCTGTTTGTCCATTTATTGTCATGTATTGAGGTTGTTGCTATGCCTTAGAAGAAAAAAATATGGCATAGGCATTCATGGTTTATAGTAATGAGACCCCTGCTGTATAGTTTATATGAACTCTAGCTGTAGCTATACTGTATGCTAAAATGCATTTTTACTTGAAAGGAAGTTTTGTCATGGCTGGTGAACAAACACAAAAACTATACTGATAATCAGGTGGAAATGGTATCCCCATCTGTGTCTAAAGATTTCTATAACCATTTTTACCAACATCTCAAAATTTCATTAATAATCCATTTACTAAAAAGCAAATTACTTTTGTTTTGACATACATGATAAAGCATGTATTCACTAATCGTTCTGCCATGGTAGAAATAAGCATGTATGAGAAACACAAAAACAAAGCAACAAAAGTGATCAACAAACACTTTAACTGTTATGTGCCTACAAAAAGGTTGACTAAATATATTCTAGTTATATGTGTGAGGGTTTAAAAAGTGTATCTTTGCAGGTTCTCAGTATGTGACGTGTGTCTTACTGTGGCCAGTTAGTGTGACACTGTGAAAACTGTGGTTTTCCTGTAAACAAGTTCTAAAATTAACATTTAATGCACGTGAGAGTCAGAGCAGTCAGACTGTTGTAGTCTGTTCTGCACGTTCACATTGTTCTTTTAATCATGGCTGATCTCCTGCTGCTAGTCGTTCTCATGTGTAAGTTAAACTTCTTATGATTCATTGTTCATGTCAGCTATTACTAAATATAGTCTCACCTATTATTACTGTTAGGTGTTAGCATGTTTACCTCTAACACAAGTTTACATTTTGAATCTTTTTATTGTTGATTCTATTTTGTATTTTCTTCTTTCCTTCTTCAGATTCTTTTCATGAAATTAAAGCACAAGGTTAGTCTTAGTTTCATGTCATCATGAATACTTTTTGTGCATATATAAAATATTTAAAATAAAATCTGTGTATATGTAATTTCAGCCAGTCTTCCACCTATACTGAGCGTGAGTCCACCTGCGATCACAGAGACGGACTCAGTCACACTGAGCTGTCAAACTCCATCATCTGTTTCTGTGTCTCAGTGTGATTTCTACATTGCAAGCCAGAAACTGTCCAAAGGTTCCTCCTGTGTGCAGACACTGACAGGGACTGAGCTGCTGAAGATTACACAGAAGAGTTTACCTGCTGAGGTTGAAGTGAGATGTTCTTACACTGTGCAAACTTATACTTTTAAACGTACATCTCCTGACAGCAAGCCATCCACCATCAACATAATCGGTGAGTGACAAAAGTACATGAACAGTTTATAATATGTTTCAATAATACTTATGGAGTTGATTAGTTATTATCTGAGTACTTGCAATAATTATGAATCTAAATGTAATTATTATAATTCTACAATATAAAATATATAATATAGATGCAAATGTGCTTAATTAATCTAACATGTACCTGAATTTTTCAGATCTTCGTCCACCTAAATTGACAGTGAGCCCACAGAAGATCACAGAGACAGACTCAGTCACAGTGAACTGTCAGACTCCATCATCTGTTTCTGTGTCTCAGTGTTATTTCATCATTGCAGGGAATGAAATTGCCAGAACAGCTCCTTGTCTGCAGACTCTGACAGGGTCTGAATTTCTGTCATGGACACGTCAACGTTCACCTGTTACACTTGAACTGACCTGTTACTACCTTAATATACAGAAATCTCCACTGAGTAACATGTCACCAATCACCATACAGAGTGAGTAAATGCTACTGGAATGAACGCAGTAATATTAAGTTTAAATGTGCATCAGATTAAAACTTTCAGAGTAGTTTTTTTATTTTATTGTCAAATAAATGTAATGTTTTCTCTTTTAACTCAACAAATGCTTGCATTTCTTAGCTCCTCGACCCGAACTGACAGTGAATCCACAGACGATCACAGAGACAGAATCAGTCACAGTGAACTGTCAGACTCTATCATCTGTTCCTGTGACTCAGTGTTTTTTGTACTTTATGAATGGAAGAAAATCTACGTCCATCTCCTGTCAGCAGACACTTACAGGAACTGAGCTGCTCTCTATGGCACGGCAGAGTTCACCTGCTGAGGTTGAAGTGACATGTTTTTACAGCTCAGAGCATAAAGGAGGACAATACCAGTCTCCTCACAGCAACATATCTTCCATCAGCATACAAAGTAAGTGATCACACTGTGAGTGAAGAGGAACATTTTCATGTGCATCAGGAAAAAACCTCTCAGAACAGTTTCTATTATTAGATCTTATTTCAAATAAATTAAACATTTGCTTATTTAACTCAACCAATTTTTTCCATTTTTTTAGCTCCTCGGCCTGAACTGACAGTGAATCCACAGATGATCACAGAGACAGAGTCAGTCACAGTGAACTGTCAGACTCCATCATCTGTTCCTGTGTCTCAGTGTTATTTCATCATTTCAGGAGATAAACCTGATAAAGCAGCTCCTTGTCTGCAGACTCTGACAGGGTCTCAATTTCTGTCATGGACACGTCAAAGTTCACCTGTTACACTTGAAATGACCTGTTATTACCTTAATATACTTAAATCTCCAGAGAGCAACATGTCACCCATCAATATACAACGTGAGTAAATTCTGCTGAGGTGCACTAATGTGAGGATGTTTGTCTACAGTATCAGTACAAAAAACAAAGCTGCTCTCAACTTAGGGGTTGTAGGAGGAAATTGTTCTTGTGTATCAGACTTGATCATTTTAAAAAGTAAAACTCTCAGATCAGTTTCTATTAATATATTTTATTTTTAAGTAAATGAAACATTTGCTTATTTAACTAAAGAAATCTTTACATTTTTAGCTCCTCGGCCTGAACTGACAGTGAATCCAACTATGATCACAGAAACAGACTCAGTCACAGTGAAATGTCAGACTCCATCATCTGTTCCTGTGTCTCAGTGTTTTTTGCACTTTATGAGAGGAAGAAAATCTACGTCCATCTCCTGTCAGCAGACACTGACAGCAACTGAGCTCCTCTCTATGGCACAGCAGAGATTACCTGCTGAGGTCAAAGTGACATGTTTTTACACATTAGAACATAAAGGAGGACCACATAAGTCTCTGCATAGTAACACGTCCTCCATCAGCATACAAAGTAAGTGATCATAACATGCGGCTCTATAGTATACCTCTGTACAGTATGTGCATAAAGTTTTAGCTTTTATAAACCAAAGAATGAAACTAAAAACTGATTTTTATAAAGTTTTTCATTTACATGTAACTGATGTTACATTCTTAAATAAACTGCAATTTGTTTGAATTTAAGAGTCAATTCAAAACAAATTTTCCATTGAGTAACATGTCAGAAATTACAGCTATTATACAAAGTGAGTAAATACTAATGCAATGAACTAATATGAGGATTTCTGACAACAGTATCTGTAGAAAAAACCAACAACCTCTTTCAACTTGTCGGTTGTTGTAGTGAGGAAAATTTAAATATGCATAAGATACATATATTTCTCTTATTAGGTTTTATTTTCAAATAAATGAAACATTTATTTATTTAACTTGAGAAATCTTTACATTTTGTAGCTCCTCGACCTGAGCTGACAGTGAATCCACAGATGATCACAGAAACAGACTCAGTCACAGTGAACTGTCAGACTCCATCATCTGTTTCTGTGACTCAGTGTTTTTTGTACTTTATGAGAAGAAGAAATTCTACGTCCATCTCTTGTCAGCAGACACTTACAGGAACCGAGCTTCTCTCTATGGCACAGCAGAGTTCACCTGCTGAGGTTGAAGTGACATGTTTTTACATGTCACAGCATAAAGGAGGACAATACCAGTCTCCTCACAGTAACATATCCTTCATTAACATACAAAGTAAGTGATCACAATGCGCTGCTCTCTATTATACCTCATTACAGGATGTGCATTTATTTCTACAAACCAAAAAGGGAAGCTAAAACCTGATGTTTATAGGGTTCTGTTTACCTTTAATAATGTAATCTACAAGATTTTAGGCAGTGATACATATTTCCATCCTTGAGTAAACTGCCTATATCTTGAATTAATTTAACTCCATCCAGGGAGCAGAATTCTGAGTATTGATGGATGTATTTACAGTGCATTATGTGTTATGCACTGACGTCAGATGACAGCAAAACAATATTATAGGGCTTCAGCTACCGATTATTTTAGTAATTGAGTGAGCTTCCATATTAGAAATTATAAAGTTTATTGCATATAAGATATAAGATCTGTCAAAAAAATTGTATTTGTAAATTATATGTAAATTATATGTGTGTTTGTGTGTGTGTGTGTGTGTGTGTGTGTTTGTATTTATATAAAATGTATTTTAAGAAAGCTTTATCTTAAATTTAAAAAAGTATAAATAATTGAAAGTACAGTCAAAGGTCCAATTAAATAAAGGAAGATATATGTGTAATCTAAACTACGGCACAAAACAGATGATACAATGGTCTAGATGTTAATAATAAATATTAATAATAATTCAGTGTCCAACCTAACAACTCTCAGGTCAGTGGATCAGAGTTTAAATGCCCATTTATATTTTTATTAGGTTTTTAAAAAGTTTTTATTCCTATATTTTTAAATATTAATGCAGTTTAATTAGCACATTATCTGATATGATTTCACTTTCAGTGTGAAAAATGTTACAAGAGTCTTCAGGTTAATATGGTTTAGCCCCTGTTTGCTGCAGGTACCACTCCCATGTGAAATAAGACTGTTACCTTCAGCCTTCAGCAAGCTGTATGATTTAACCAGTCTGGTCTCAGACTCAGTTCGTCTGCATATTTTAATACTACTTTTGGAGGTTTACTGCAGATTTTTTTCTTTGTTTAAAACAAATAGCAGTGGACGGAGCAGCTGCAGAGTTTGCTTTTCTTCACGCCAGAGTTTGTTGATCAGGTGCTTTGATGAAGGACTCACGCTAAAGTAAAGATTTTAATGGTGATTACAGGAACTTTGCTGCTGTTTTGACGTTAGAGACACATTTTGTTTCACTCACCTTGAGCTCACTGTCTCGGTAACGCCGCTTGCGCATAAACAAACTCCGGCTCCATGTTAAATTGTGTCAGTGTCATTATCACTGTTCCTATTGTGTTATCAGTGTGTGTGGGATCAGTGTTGTCAAACCTTTTATTCACACACTGCTTCTAAATACTTTTGTATTGCAGGTCTTGTTCTAGTTGTGTTTACATCGTTTAATACATCGGAGCACTACAGAGCCGCGTGTTAAAGGAAGCATCGATACAAAGGCTGTGTCATGAGTTTTTTATAATCAAAGTATTCGAATCACTCAATCAGTATTAAAGCCCTAGAACAAGTGTTGTAGGGCTAAGTGTAAAACATTGACACTGTGCTGTTGTATGGCAGTATTGCAGTAGTGGAAGAAAATGCCTTTTGTGGTGAATCCACAAGAAACTTAAATAATGAAACAATCACTACACAATCTTCTTTTATTGCAGCTGAAAAAACACTTTGACCTTTTCTCCTCCCCTATCTATGGACTTTACAAGTCACACAATCAGGAGAAACACAATTATTGTTAAGATGTTTATAAGTAAATAAAAATGCTTAGGTCAATTGCTGTGGTGTTTTTTGACATCTAGAGATATTCATTTCAGTGGGGACGACTTCTTCTGTGACCACACCAAGGACATCTTCAGGTTAGCAAAATTTCCTTAAATTGAATATTCATCATACTAAGAGGATTTTGCTTTGCATATCAGTGAAGTTTCTTCTTTGCCTACATGCCATTCAACATACTTTGCTGTTCTCAGGACCGTAAAATAAGAGATTTGTTGGTTTTTAACCATAGACATTTCAGTAGACCCAATTTCTACAAAGCTCAGCACTACAGGGACGACTTCTTCTGTGACCACACCAAGGACATCTTCAGGTGAGCGAAATTTCCTTAAACCGTGTATTCATCATACTAGGAGGGTTTTGCTTTGCATATCAGTGAAGTTTGTTCTTTTCCTACATGTCATTCAGCATACTTTGCTGCTCTCAAGACTGTAAAATAAGAGATTTGTTGGTTTTTAACAGTAAATGTCTTTCTTCTTTACTTTCACCAAAATTGGAAGTAAGACTGACATTTGCTTGTGGTCTATGCTTTTCCAGTACCTTCTGCTCTTAAACTTCTACCTGTAGTTGCAACTGGTTTTGGTGTAATTGTGGGCATCATCTCACTGGGAATGGCTCTTGTCTGTGTGAAAAGAAGAAATGGTAAGCACAGTAACATTTCCTTTTGTCATGTATAACCCCAAAGCTTTTCTACAGTCTGAAGTATTTGTGATCACACTATATTATAAAAGGTTTATACACAAAATCGACCGATCAGCTCCACCACCGTTCTGTTCATAAACCGACTGATTTCTGACCTCCAAATCTTTTACTTCTCTTCCATACTTACACGCTTTCCCACAATTTTCTTATTCCTCCTTCAGACTCAGCATTATGTTTCAGCTGCTCCGCACCAACACTGTACCTCACAGCTTCAACACACCAGTGAATATATTAACTCGCCCAGCTCTTTTAATCTAGCTGTTACTCTATTGATGTCACATCCTGACGGTGTGTGGTGACTTTTAGAGGAAGGAAAGCAGAGACATACCCCTCCTGCCCCTAATACATTAATTAAAAAAAAAAATTAAAGCCTCCCTTATTGTTTAACAAACCTGTCTTTGGCAAATTGGACCAGATTAAAACATACCACTCTTTTGCTGCACTCTCCTTGGTAGTCTTCACCTCTCTGCACTCCTTCCTGTCTGTAGAATTGTAAAATGTTAATACTGCTATCGTTATCTAACTATTTACTATTAGCTAAAAATGATCAGCTGTGATGATCCTGATTTTAATGTGTATCAAATATATCTATATTAAAAAATAATCTGATCTGAATTAACAGCACAAGAACTCTGTGATGTGGTTAATTGCCAATATGTACAACGAGATTAAATATCAATGAAAAAAGTAAGTAAACATAAACAGTTAAACTCCGTACATTTGGTCAACTAAGTGATTACTCCGAGATATTAATCTAAAAGTCTTGATGGAACCTCCAACCGATCGGCTGGACATGACAGGCATTCCCTTCTCTATCATTAAAACTTTCAACACCTTAAAGGAGTTATTAAAGATTTCTTACATCATAGGCCAAAGTGGCCAATGAAAGCACAGTCAGTGTTAACTTGTCTAGCACACTAGTCCTGTCAAGGACCAGACGTTTGTCTACAATGAAAAAACAACTAGTTGCAAACTGTAGGCAAATTTTGGTATCAATCCGATATCAGGTAAATTAACAGTAGTAGTGCCAGTACTAATACTTTTAATCTTTAAAGAGAGCTTATGTAGGGGAGAACAGTGTATCATGATTTATGAGATGCATTATCGTGTTAGGGTACCTGGGTTGTTGACCCAGTGTTTTCTGTTAAGAGTTTTGAGTCTTGTTTATTCATTATTATGTTCTCTATGTGTCTTATGTTTCAGTTTGCTTGTGCTCAGGTTTATCAGTATTTCTAGTTTAGGTTGTCTTGGTTGGTAATTGGCCCCATTCATGTCTTTGTCTTGTCTCTGTGTTCCAGAGACACAGAGATAAGACAAATAATGGATTGGATTGATATAGCGCTTTTCAAGGCACCCAAAGCGCTTTACAATACCACTATTCATTCACTCTCACATTCACACACTGGTGGAGGCAGCTACAGTTGTAGCCACAGCTGCCCTGGGGCAGACTGACAGAAGCCAGGCTGCCATATCGTGCCATTGGCCCCTCTGGCCAACACCAGTAGGCAAGTAGGGTAAAGTGCCTTGCCCAAGGACACAACGACCAGGACAGAGAGCCCAGGGATTGAACCGGCGACCTTCCGGTTACAGATGCGATTCCCAACCCCCTGAGCCACGGTTGCCACAAAGACATGAATGGGACCAATTACCAACCAAGGTGGCTGTGTTCCACCTGTGTTGTGTTCCCTCATTTGCGCTCATGCATTTATTGTCCGTCTACCACTGTCAAGTGTCGCAATCTCCCTCTTGCTATGTCCTTTCCATATGTCCATTTTGTACCTGCCCTTAGCCTTCCCAGTGTTGTTATGTATCTATCAATCAAGCAATAAAAATCTTGTTAAGTTCAGTCTTGCTGAATGAGTGCTCTGACTTTTACTAAACACAATTAGTTAACACAGTAAAAAACATACTTTTAGCTTTTCTAATATATTAATACTGTGTTTCTTAGAGAGCTGGAATGTAAATGTGCCAGTCTTTAACCCTTTAAGACCTACCATAGAGCCAAGTCCGCCAGAGCTTATAGTATATTTTTACATGCTGTGGAGCCATTTTTTGGAGCATTTCAAGTTGCTATACATCAATACAACCATTATAGCCCAAATTTTAATAATATGTCTGCATTAAGTGCATAGTAATTACATAAATTGCAAAAAAGTGCAATAAACTACAAAAAAATTTAAAATCGTTTTTGTTTTGTTTTTAACATATATTTCTAGTTAGAGAAATTTAAGAGGCTTATCCCTCAAAACTGTAAATACAAAAAAGTTGCACAAACTAGTTTCCCACCAAAGGAAATTTATTTTAAGTGTCTTCATAGTTTTATTTTTGAGATACACCAATTTTCATATACTGCAGGAAAAACGAAAAAGTATATTAAAGTGCAAATTTGCAAAATAACAGCATATGCAGTGCAATATGAGTCCTCAGCATCCCAGAAACGACACAGAAAGTCATAAAGTCAAACATAACTTTTAAAAACATAAGTATAGGCTCATAAGGCCAAGATGGTAAAAAACTACATTTCCGCAAAATGACGTCACTTCCGGTTTCGGGCAGGTCATGCCGGACATGCGATAGTTCACGCTGATGGACATAGGAAGTGTTACAAACAGCTGATCGGATCGGCAAAGCGTGTTTCTGGAATATTATGTTTTTGTTGCTGCAAGTGCTTTTTATGCAGTTTTTTCAAAGCTATATGTGGAAGGAAACTGTGACCTAGGACAAGCTGATGGCATAAGATGTAAGTACAACTCCTGCGGTTTCATATGCAAAAAAAATTATTGCGCTAGCTTACGTGGTTGCAGTGCTACCGATATTTAAAAATAGTTGCGCAAAATGGAGCGTGTCCGCTCCGACCGGCTTTAAAGGGTTAAAATACTTTGTGTCAGCTTCTGTTGTTTAAATGTGCTACAGGGTAAAAAGAATTGACATGACAGAACAGAGAATGGTTTAAATATTTTTCATAGTGCATGTTTGAAGTATATTTTTTTAATTTAAAAAATATATAGTAAAAATGTATTTAACAGTGGGGTGCATGCATACTGAATAGAAGCAACCTATGATCCAATTGCATCTGTATCAGTCCAATACTGATACCAGTGTTAGTATCGATATTATCGATATTTAGCTCAATCTGCCCACCCTATCACACACCCATGAGAATGCCTATCCCCATATAGATTTCAAGTAGTATTCTGCTTCCACGGTCAATTGACAGCTGCCACAAAATGACAGGGTTTTTTCTCATACCTGTTTGGATGGATGCAAACATGTACGCCAGTGTGTTTGTGAAATGGACCCAAATGCAGAACATGAGAGGAGATGGTAGTGAGCTTTAAACAAAAGGCGAGCCTTTAGTAGATAACAAGAAAACAAAACAAAACAACATGAACAGTGGTGAGAGCTAAACTAAAACCTAAACAGGAAAAACTAGGAAAGACTACGAACATGATTTTGAGCAGGAACATGAAAGAAACTATGAAATACAAACATAAATGAAAACCTGAACTAAAATAAAACTCAACTTAAACCTAACTGGTAATACCAACAAAAGAACATATTTTCAATATAATATAAGAAAGCAAAAATACAAAATGAACTCAAAATGCTGGACAAAAAAGGTATGAGAAGCTTAATGACAGATTGCTGTTTGGGATTAAGCAGAGAACACTTTAGTATGTATTAACTAAAAATCACTTGACAATTAATGCTTTTCTTTTTCTCCGTGATGTAACATCACTGTCAAATCCACTATGACTATAATTAATGAAATATTTATTCTTTAATCATTTCTGGTATTGTGTTTAATAGGATGTCCTTGAGTGTTATCCTTTTGTCCCCCTGTGTGGTAGTTTTTATACTGATTTTTTATTTTGCCTTTTGTTGTAGATAATTTTTCAAGCACAAAAAAAACTGACCGAGGAGGATGGGTACTTTTCTTTTTCCTTTTTGTTTTAATAAAATTCAGGTACTTAATTACAGGTCGTTCATGACTTCTCGTCTTACTCCTTTTCTTCTCTTCTTATCAAACAAGATGTCTCCAAATGATACTGAAGCCTTCAATATGACCAGTTTGGTCCCTGGTGATGACCCACCTAAAGGTAAGATACTGCTCTTTTGTTTCCCTTTTTAAATTTTGGTCTGCGTTTTGTTACAGTTGTATAACAAGTTACATTATTTTGATGATAAACCAAAATGATGTAATTTAATGTGCAAAGCATTTAAAAAATAAACACCATCTTAGTGCATGAATATCAGAGGGGTATACTAGAATAGAATAGAATAGAATAGAATTCAACTTTATTGTCATTGCACATGCACAGGTACAGGGCAACGAAATGCAGTTTGCATCCATCCAGAAGTGCTTTAGTGATATAGATATATTACAATATATATTAGCAATAATATAGAAATGTGAGTATATTACAGAAATGGGTCTATTATGGTATGTTATAATGTACACGGTATGAAGTATGTTGTGAATATTCTATAACTATAAGTATGTACAGGCTGTAGTGAGTACAAGCTATGTACAGGCTATGAACAGGATATAAATATGAAAAACTATACAGAATATGAAATAAATAACTTTACAGAATCTGAGATATACAG